CTTCTCGTTTATCAAGGACTGTCGTGGATGGGTTAAGTCCACATAAGGTTCTTTTTTTATGCCTTGAGGCCAAGGACTTTTAAACTGATCAGATTTACATGCCCGAGGGCTTAGGACTTGGATCTGGTTTGAACACTAACGATATATTCAAATCGGATTCAAGTACTGAGAAAGCCTCTTAATAATCATGTTGCTAGAAATAACTCGCATATAACTGGAAGTATACAACATATTTGAAAAGACAAAACCAAAGCAAAGAAGGTCGGGCAAGGTTAAACCTTATCGGGTAAGGTTGCTCGTCTTGCAGGTTCCTATCTTTGTAGTTTTGTCAAAGGTCTGAAAGCTTAGAGAGGTAGAGAGAGAGAGATTACAAAAGATGAATCGATACTACAGCAAGGTTGAACAAGGTAGCAGAGCTATTACAAAAGGTTGAAGAGAGGGTTATCCCGAAAGGGATGGAGGTTTATCCCGAAAGGGATGAAGGCTGACTACAGCTTTGTTTTGAAGGCAAATCTGGCTTTGAGCAGAGTTTGTGCTTGCATTTGTTTGTTTGATTGAGTGTCTTTAATCCTGGATTTTCTTTCTTCTTATATAGACAACTCGGCTTGGCCTTTGGTAGCAGCAGCTTTGCCCGAATGCGGTTTGAGGGTGATGACTCATCAGCTATATTACATGTAATGCCACCATAAAGTGCTTTATGGGTTGTGTAGCTGATCAGTCTACACCACTTGGCCTTTGGGTAGGTAAGCAAGTGGTCTTCATGAGCTGCACCAAGTCAGAAAAGGCTTGCTCCTGCCTTCTGGGCTTTGACTGGGCTCCGGCTATCTTCCCTTTCGTGCCTCCCTTTGGGCCAACTCCTTTCTTGAGCCCAAAGTTTCAAGTTTTGATCCAAACACATTCCATGCCTGACTGAGTTTGATTTTTTTAACAAGGGGACAAATTTTGCGGGAGAAGCTATTCTATTTTCGGTAGGCAATAGGTGCAGAAGAAGACGAAACTCTTCATGATTGAAAAATTGCATGTGAGAATGAGATACTTTTACTTGCCCTGCCATTTTAGTTGGATCATTTGCCTTCTTTATTGGGCGGTATGCTTATTTTGTGTGACAACACTACAAACCATCCTGCGTTCCGCAAAAATGCTCCAATTCCAAGCGCCTAACCAAAAAGGGGTGTGCTATGCACATACCTCTTTTTACTTCTTACACACTGCTTGTTAATTTCAGTCCGTTGATCTTCTTCAATTCATCCGATCTGACGGCCAAAAATCAAAAAGATGTGAGAGAAGTAAAAAAGGTGTGTGGATATCACACCCCAACCAAAAAATCCCCCCTTCTTCCAAGTTTTAGGTGCCGTACTATCCGCCCTAAAATAAAGGCAGGCTACTCTCCCTCGGGCTTTTGTTCTTGGTCGGAATCTAATTTCATGGAGCGTTAAGAACCAGCTTTTTATTCTAACAAATAAGCAAGTAAACTATCTTCACACGATAAAGTTTCGTGATACATCAAAGCCCATCTCACAGCAAAGGGCAAGACAACTGAAATACAAACCCAAATAAAAACACAAAACAAAGCCAAACAAAACGTAAGGGGGAATGAAATTCCTCCAGCTTTTGAATACTTTTCCATTTTGTGCAATTGGATGTGGGGGGACGAAATTGTATTATCACGCCACCTTTGAGAGAAACTTGTCACAGTATTTGCAATCTTACACGTATATAATTAAGGGAATTTTAACAAAAAAACTTCTGATACTGTTTATTTTAACGAAAAACCATATTTTTACACTAAAAAGTCAATCATGGTACTATTCATTTTACCATTTATTTTGTCCTTAACGTTAAAACTCAAAGTTTTCAAGTTATTTTCATAGTTTTCCTTATAATTAACAACATTTTTGTCAATAGATGTGTCATAAGATCAATGGCAAAGTTAGGAAATGTTAAGGGGAGGGGCAAAATTTAAAAGGTAAAACATTCCAAAAAAAATGTAGTCAACCTTTTAGATAGTAGACAATATTAATATCGTTCATAATTTATCAATACAAACAAATTACATGAAAACGTTGCATAATAGGCTTATTATTAGTAAAAACAAAAACATATCTCTTAATGTAAACAACCAAGCTATCACTCAACCATTGATCTTCCATTTTGTTACACAATAGTGTTTTGACAATATTCATAGCAAAAAAAAGCTCTCTCCACCCAAACTAATGTAAGAAGCTTATATACTAACTTGTAGTTTTCACACCTCTAGTCTTTACCAATTCCTTTGAAAAATCACTAATTTCTTTCAATAATGAAAACTCACTATGCATCTTCAAATCATGAATATAACTATCAAATTGAATTAGAATTATGAGGTCCACATGATTAAAATCTTGAGGATAAAGTTGGGAGAAATGATCTACTTTTTGTTGGTCAAAAGATGCAAGATTATTCACCGAACTCAAATATGTCATACAAAAGAAGCAAGTTGATATTTACTTCATTGAAGCGATTATTCAATTCTTTAAGTTGCATATAAAGGAAAATAGAGGTCCACACGATAGTAAGTGAAGTTCGTGAGTCTTAGAGCTTCATGCTTTAATTTTCCAGGTACGAAATGCAAGTCAAGTTAGGAACATTAATATTATTTTTCTCACAAAACTTTTGTTCATCAAGAAACAACTCCTCAAAATCATTATCTCTCAAGGATTAAAAGCAAATAAGATGAAATAACTTTAAATCCTGAAAATAATAACAAGAATTAAAAAGGAACAATAACAAACATCAACCTATTGGTGCTCTTCAGTCTAAACAAATGAGATAAAGGGAAGATAATTGAAATGGTGGGCTGGTATCTTTGGGCAATAATGTTTAATCAACTAAACAAATGGTAGTGAGGTTAGAAAGGAGCCCATATCAATAAATTAAAAAATAAGAAAGAAACTAAAAAGAACCCACAATCCACCCCGTTTCATTAAAAGGAACACTGGAACAAAGCTTTATAAACAATAGCATATGACGATGTCATTTGGTATTTAAACATCATTAGGTCGTCTTCTTCCTTGAAAACATTAAAACCCAGTAGAGCATTTTAGCGCACCAGCCCAAATACCAATAGGTTTAGAAGATCTGAGGGGCGGAATCCTCACTCTTAGTGGAGATTTCCGACTACCGGAGGGGCGGCCGCCCCTCCTTGCGCCTCTGTAGCTTCGCCACTGCATAGCATGATCGTGAATAATGACGAAAAGCAGCTATGGTTTTTGCTATTTAAATGGGAAGCATATGTATGGATTGCACAATTTGTTTTAAGCTTAGTAATTTTGTGAGGAAGATGAAAGCCATATAACTCCTCTAATTGTTAATCGAAAATATTATTATTAGAGGAAACTAAAACTGAGATGTTTCTGATTGGTCCTTGGCCGACTTTGATTACTTAGTTGAAAAGTGAACAAGTATAAAAGCTTATCGATTACCAAAAGAAATAGAATTCTCAAAAACGCTGTAATCAGTCAAACATTACTCTCCCACCCTTTCTGCTCTCTCTTTATTCCTTTCCCTCTCTGTTTTCCACGCAGCTTTCCTTCCCAAGTCCCAAACTTGAATGCGTGAATGCTTTTCATTTATTTCCTTTGATTTCTCTTTTCTGTTTAGCTTGCATTCGATGCACCCAAATGTCGCGTTGTGTTTGTTGGCGATGTTGCTTGTCAAGGCTTTGAGCAAATTCTCACAGGGTAATGATACGATGGAAATGCAGATGGATGCAGGATTTACGACTTTTATCATTTTTGAATGTATGAAGTTCCGAACAGTTGCATAATTGCAGAATAAAGACGACAAAATTCTGCAAAGAAAAAAAATAAACGAAATAGAATTTCGTCAACTTTATATTGCAATTGTGTTACGTAAAATTCAATGATTAGAGAAAGGTTAACGTTTTCAATTTAACCAATTTGGTCACTGTTTTCCTCATTGTATACAATCTAAGTCACTTTTGTCAATTTCAATTTGCATTTTCTATATGGGGATGAACTCATTTTCTATATGGGGATGAACTCATTCTCATTTGAGGGGAACACCCTTGCTTCGTAGTTGATATATTGTCCGAATCGTGCCAAAATACTGAAAACATTTTAGAAATCCCGAAATTTCAGTTCGATTTCGGTTTTCGAAATCTTGTCCCGAAAAGGATTGGTTCGGGATTTGGGTTATACTTCTCGGTTTGGATCTCATCCCGAACCATCCATAATTATCTCACTAACAAATAACGTATATTCACCAAAAAATAAAAAAAAATTCATAATCGAAATCGTCCGTTTATTTGATGCATTTGATGATACATTTGAAATGACTAAACAATTTCGAATGAATTTTATAGTGATTATCTTTGAAGAAAAATTAAGAAATTTAATTATTATGATTATGATATTTTTACAATGAAGATCCAATATTTGCAAGTGCGGGAGAATGAGCTCATCCTCCTCAAATGAGAAACGCAATTATTGTTCTTTTAAAAAATACTTAAAAAAGTTTTTAAGAAATATTTCTTTGTGTTTCTCTAGTTTTGATAGAAAACACATAGTTAGTGATATACAAAGTATACTAGTACGTAAAAAATAAAGGGAACTTTAATGAAAAGCACATGATACTGTTCACTTTAACGAAAAACCATATTTTTACACTAAAAAGTCAGTCCTGGTACTATTCACTTTACCCTTTATTTTATCCTTATCATTAAAACTCAAAGTTTTCAAGCCATTTTCATTAGTTTTCCTAAAAATAAATACATACATGTACTATTCGACAACTCTACTAAAAGGTACTTTGAAAAATTCAAGCCATTGCTTTAAAATTTAAATATTAATTAATTTAAAACTTTACCATTTTTATCTTTTTAATAATATGTTAAAGTTACGTACAAAAGGTATTTTTTGTATAATTAAAAATATGTCAAAATAACGTGTATTAAAAGTAAAAAGTAAGTACGTATATTGGAGTTTTTACAAATGCGCAATTTAACAAAATACTTATGGAAAATAAAAATATTTCTTAAAAATATATATGTATACACAAATTTACTAACTCTAACTCAAAGTCTTTAAAAGTCTTGTGTTGTGTCTTCATCTTTGTGAGTGTCCCACAACTGGCCTTAAAAGATTTGCAAGTCTTTTTATAGTGATCTTTTAAAAAAAAAAAATTATAGGGAAATACTCCAAAATGGGAAATGCTCACATATAAATACTAAAAACCCTTAACTCATTTCATCATTTTTGTCATTTGGAAGAGAGGATGTCGAAAGAGCTTTGTGAGCTTACCGTTTCTAGGTTGAGCTCAAATCTCTGAGCTTCGATTTCCAAGAGAGAGAAGTCGAGAGTGAAACTTCAAAGTGGGGGTTTCTCATTTGCATCAGTGTTTCATCCTTAAAGATATGATTTTTGTACCAAATTTGTCGTTTTGGTTGGAAAGTTCCATTCTTTCCGGCTAGTGAAGCTTCGGCAGCCATATTTCCATTGCCATCAGGTTCGTCTCTCTCTCTCTCTCTCTCTCTCTCTCTCTCTCTCTCATCTCTTTCTCTCTCTAACTCAGTCATTGTCTCCATTTTTGCAACTAATTACTTGTTTGTTCAATTAGGTTTTTTTGGATTTGTAGAGATGAGAAGTCAAACAAAAGAGGGATGGGGAAGAGAGGGCTCGAAATGTGTTCTGGAAATCTTTATTTGTTTATGGGTTTTGTTATTTTAGACTTCTGGATTTCAATTTTAAGAATTTTGCTTTTTAATTTTTTCTTAGGGTATTGAAGATTCATGGAGTTGTGTTTGTGGATTTGGCTAAGTGAGTTTGTTACGGAATGCTCAACATTTGTTAATTTTTATGAACTTGCAAATTTTTGTGAATTCAATATGGAATGGGTGCTTGTCTAAAAATGTTTGTGAATTACAAGTCTTAGTTTAATATGAAAGAAATTGTACACGATATGCACATGACATGCACATTTGTCATCTCTATTTGATTTGCCCTATGCTTGTATATAGTTATCAGTATTTACAAGGTGTTGGATTCTGGGTTTCAAAAAGGTCCTTTAGACGATGAGTTAAAACCATAACAATGGGTTTAGAAAAAAGAAAAAGATGTAAAAACCTCCAAGTTTCGAACCTATGTCTTGTTGAAACTATGAATGTATAATCCCCACCATTCCAAAATAGTTAGATATGTCTGGACCAACCCATGCACAACATGATGTAAGGAGTGTGAGATTTGATAACACACTAACCTTTAGTTGGAAATGAAGTAACAACATTTGGAAGCATCTTTCAAGTTGGGGGACAAAAAAGTAGTGGTGGGGAAACTTATAACTTTTGAAACTCACATGCATCGCATCCTCACCACATAAACACCTTCAACACATTCCCTCTTTTACCCAATTGATTTCATCCTTATCATGGTAGACTTATGTATAAATACACTTCTCACACATAGTTGTAATAACCATTAACCCTTCTAAAAAATTAGACTTCTCAGATAGCCAAAACAATTAAGAACACAAACATATCCAAGTTCCCACATGAAACTAAGGGCTTTAACGCAGAGTTCCACGGGTGGTACAACATGAAACCTCCTCCACTTCCAAGGTCGCCGAAGGCAAATCCTACATCATCATTTAGCTCTGTGGACTCGGAGACGCCACTGAAAAGTATAGATTAGGTCGCAGGTGACTCGACTATGAGACGAGCATCATCGAGTATTGGAACCACAAGCTAATGAAGGTAGAAAAATAGCTTGTGGACCTCGACAGTGTAAGCAATCATAAAACGAAGGTTGACACGTCTAGATAAAGGATCACATTCCTAAATTTTGAATTGTTCCAGAAACGTTGGGCCCATATTGAGTCGTATGAGCGTTCTTGGGAGGGAAATGTGATGCGAAAATTAACTTAACACACAAATTTAACCCTCTTTTAACAACTATAGTATAAGTATAAGTAGGGATCGTTTTGGACCGGAGATTAGAAGGGCTTGCTAATAACCTCTAAACTAACTCAAAAACATAAAACTAAACTTAAAAATACTTAACAAGACTCACAAGACTCAAAGCAAACTTAAAATACTCAAAACAACTAAATAAACTTAAACTAGACACTAGGAATGACTTTGGACGAAAATTTACTTTTACTTGAATCAAAACATTTAAAAACACAAATTAAAACAAATTCTAACTAATTAGACAAACTAAAGTAAAGGGGGATTGAGTTTTGGATGAAGTTGAAACAAACAAACAAATATGAAAAACTAGACAGATTGTAAAACAAATTTGAGAAATAAGATGATGGATGGGATAGCTAGAGGCTTTTTCTCCAAACATGACATGTATGCAAACAACTCGATTTCCAATTACTACTTCATTGAATTATGAATGACAATGCTCCAAATTAACCGTGACATCACTAATTAACTCTTAGATTTTCCTTGTTTTATTGGATTGGATGACATCATTCGACAATCCAAAACATTCTTCTAAAGTTCCCTACATGACATCATAATAGAGATACAATCAAAGATCATTATGTTTAATGAAAATCATAAGCATTGACAAAGCACTTGCAACTATGACATCATGTCACTCATGCTAGGAATTGAACTTAACGCGATCGTTTATAAGCGACCTTCACTACATGTGAATATAAGTTTGTAACGATTATGTGAAACTTCCTTATATTCTAGCAACGGATTTATACATGCCAATTAAGTGTCGACCCTTAATTAACAAATACAAATAAGTTATCAATCAAATAGTTAAGCCAATTGCATTCACGATTTAAGAGTTTATAACTGGAATTTATCAAATTATATTGTACACATAATCATGGCTTTGAAATCACTCCTAACCAATAGGGGTTTAGCCACTCATATTTACAACAAAACGAAAGGAAATTTGAAATCACTCCTAACCAATAGGGGTTTAGCAACTCATATTTACAACAAAACGAAAGGAAATTAATTTAAACATTAGAAACAAAAGAAAGAAAACACCTAAACGTTCCAACGATCCAAGTTGGACAGCAAGCACGTCCAAGCACTTTCCTTCTCTTCCTTTGCTACGGCACAAGGTGTTGATGAGTGTTTGAAGGTTTGTTTGTATGGAGGAATGGATGTGAAGATGAATGGATGTGTGTTGGATGAAGGTTGTGTTGAAATAGGAGTGAATGATCTAACCAAGTATGAACTCAATTTATGTTACACACACTTCCTTTTTATAGAGGAAGTGCATGGCAATGGAAGGGAACATGGAGTGGTGTAGCAATTGAGTGCAATGATGCATGAAATCTGAAATGATGGAGGGAACAAGGAATGGTGTAGCAATTGAGTGCAATGATTCAATGTAATGATGCATGAATCTAAAATGATGGAGGGAACAAGGAATGGTGTAGCAATTAAGTGCAATGAGTGGTGTTTGAAATGATTCAAAGGTGAAAATGAAGTGATGATGCAAAGCATGGGGTAAAATGGAGTGGTGTTGCAGCTAAGGAACATGAATGATTGTGCACATGGTAGAGAAAGGAAATGGAGGTGGAATGATACAACAAATGAGTCAATGGAGGGAACATGGATGATGATGCACGGTATAGGAATCCAAAGGGAGTGCAATGGTAGTGCACGGCAATGATGGAAAAGTGAATGGTGGAGTGACATTCCTTTGTGGCAGAGCTCTTTGTCCTTTTTACATTAATTCTTCTTTCTCTTTAACACATTCCTAGCCTCTTTAGTCTTTAATTTCGTCCATCCACCTTGCTCCATGCATGTGTTATTCATTCCAAGCCCAAAACTGCTCTAAAATGCATTTTATTGCTTCATAAAGTTTATGGATCTACAAACACACGCAAATAGCTTAAAATATATAATTAACTAAGAAATAACAACATAAATGCATGAGAACAAGCTAACTCAGTCGCATAAATATGCTCCTATCAAAATGTCGAAATAGATGAGGAACACAACAAGGGATTTGAGGATTTTCGTCGACTAGCGAAGGGAAAGGAACCACGTCGACCATAATGGGATTATATGACATTTTATTGTTGTGCAATGTATTAGCTAAGTATTTTATGATAATAAACATGCGTACTATGTATCCTTGTTATATGCACATAACATGTACATACCATGCACACATAATGCACATTAAATGCATATAATATGCATATCACTTTTTAATATCATATGCACATGATATGCCATGTGTTAGACATGCACACCTTATGCACGCAACCTACACGACATATGCACATCATATGCACAAACCGGGAAAATTTTGTGAAATTTCTGCAATTGAATTGAAACACAAATTGGAACATACCCAGTATTGTACCCCGTCAAAAATCAAAATGTTCCCACATGTTACTATAAACCCAGTTAGCATTAGCATGTTGGCCTTAGGATTCTCTTCAAGACTAGGCATAATTACAAAAAAAACTAGCCCAAGGTGTCATCATTACCATGTCATCGATCTAACTTGCGTCCACTGTTTCCCACTCATCAATGCTTGTCTATCTTTTTATTATTTTCTTTGGATATTGTGCATGAATAACTGACATGCAAGAAAATGCACATGCCATGCACAAAAAATGCACAATACATTCAAAGTACATGCACAGTAAATGCACATGTAAAATGCTACGGTGCAATGTTGGTGGATGAACATTTTTTGTGATATGTTAATGGCTTTAATAGGGACTCGATTTGTTTTTTTTTTTTCCTTTACTTTTCTTCAAATTTAGTTGTCATGTACTTTTTGTTAGTAAATGGAAAAGGGAGAAGTTTTTGGTATCATTAACAATGTTTGCTTTCTTAAATGAAAAGATGCACAACACAAAGCATGAACAAAGCATGCTTAAGTCTCCAAAACCTGATGTCGTTGGTTCGAATCATATAAGATGTGATTTTGTGTCGTTGTTCATCACATTACGTCAAAATTAGACTACAATAATTGAGCAAAAACCCAAATTTGAACTCCTTTATGCATCTCGTGTACATAGAGTGTATAGTTTTCTAGAAAAATTGAATCCTGCCAAGAAATATTTGACCCCAGCAATGGAACCCACGAACTCACAAAATACAGGTAAAGCCAAGAAACCCAACAATCATAACACATACGAACCCAGAAATTAATACTCATAAATATTGCACCTTGAAATCAAAACTCATAAACAAACCTTTAAAAAATTAAAAATATTATTCACCAAATATCGTAAAGAAACCCGCATCACTCGTATTGGGCTTTGGCTCATGTTGATTCATTAACTCCCACCTGCGACTTTCATGCGATTTTTTGTGGATGAATTATCATCCATTACACACCAAGCTTTTGGAATTGTGAGTTGGGAATTTTACTGCCACCTAAAAGTTAAATGTGATCTAAATCTTGGGTCACCAGTTCAAAAATAGAGGAGAAAGGGGATTGGTGAAAGGATGGCAATTCGTGAGAAAGAAAGACAGTAATCGAGGGAGAGAGATATTTATATTTTGATTGAGGAGAGAGAAAAACATCGCCACCTACTCCATAACCCCACCATGTTTGATGTCTGAATGCCGCAACTTTAACACTTCCCTCCGTCATTTCACGCCATTTATCTTTTTGGGTTTCACGAATGTCGGCTCCCGAGACAACCCACCACCGTCGTTCGGCCACCGGAGGCAGAGTCGCATCGGTCTTGGATGATTCCGAAGAAGATGTGGATTGGTCAATGGAGGAGGTGGATTTAGAGAGTGGGGTTTTGGAGGTGAA